TGATAAAAAACCATACTGGTGGATTTTCATGGCTGATGAAAAACATGATAGAATAATCATTGAACCAGTCAAAGTTACTGATATTGTAACCAAGCGAACATTTAAATTTCAATTCCAAGCTCCTCGTGAACCTGGTTTATATTCTTTCACCTTTTATTTTAAGAGTGATTCATATTTTGGTGCTGATATTAAAAAAGATATGAAGGTATGATAAAAACAATGATAAATATATATGTAACAAAATATATATTTATACATACTAATATTACATTATATGTATATATAAGTTGGACGTAAAAGACTTTTCAGAACTTCCACCACAAGAAGAAGTTGATGATGATATATCAGAACCTGAAGAAGATTCTTTGGCAGGTCAAATGAAATTAATGAGAGAACAAGGATTTGCTGCTGCAATTGCTAATGCTGGTAATGATGATGATGCTAATAATAAAAAGAAAGCCAAAAAATCTGGTGGTGATAGCGACGATAGCGATGATAGCGATGGAGATGGAGACAGTAGCGATGATGATTAATATTAGCAGTTCAAGTTTTGTGATTGGGTGGCGGATAGTAGTACATTTGACTGCATCACATTGAACTGAATTGACAATTTATTAAATATAATTTATTGTTATTTACTATGCTACTATTTATGTAAATTTTTTATTTTAAAACGGAAAAATTAAATATTTTCATTTCATTTTTAAATATCATCATTTTAAATATCCATTTAATGCATCAATCATTTGTCTTGTAAAAAAATATAAATGATACATAATTTACAATTTTTAGGATGCCAAAAATAGTTTTATTCAAATAATAAATAATAAATAATATTGCAAATATAAAAATTTTATTTTTTCCTATTTAAAGTGCGTTTAACTACTTTTTTTATAACTTTTGTATTAGGAAAACTTAAATCTTCAAGATTTACTGCGTATGGTGTAGGAATATCTAATCGATAAACAAATAATTAGGTGATTAAAATACTTGTATATGAATTGATATATAATAAATATAAAAATTATATATTTACCTGCACCGGTTATTCTTTCCACTGGTGCATCTAAATAATCAAAAATTTCAGTTTCCATAGCTATAGCACATATCTCGCTGCCAAACCCGTACTGGGGAAATCCGGAATCAACTGATATCAACCGATTAGTTTTCTTGACCGACTTGACTATTGTGTCAACATCAAGTGGTCTTATTGATCGCAAATTGATCACCTCAACTGATATCCCACCCTCTTCTTTTTTCTCTAATTGTTGAGCTTTTAATACGTCAATGGTTATATAAGGTAACTGGATCAGTGGATTATCATTTATCCACATCGCTTGCACTAACAGTTGAGAAAGTTCCATGCACCTAATAGTTGTTTGTAACCAACGATGTGCTAATGCTATTTCCAATAAACCATTTACAAGGTGAACAGATCTTTCAATAATAAAATATCTATCTATATGTGATATATATGATTTGTGCATCATTTGTGAGTATTAATATCATTAATTATAATAAATGAATAATAAATCATTTACCTTTTAACAAATTTTTGTCTTTAATGTCTATTCTTAGCAAATGTGAATATGTCAATGCATTTGCTTTTTGGGAATACGGTGCAATATACTAGCAGGAACAAAAATAAAAATAAATAAAATAATAAAAATGACAATTAATATTCATTTATATGATATATATATATATATATACATGACGCATAATGTATATAAAAAAACACGATAAATAAGCCTACCTTTTTACTTGTTAAGTATTTATCACTAAATCTTTTTTCTAAATAGGAAAAAAATTAATATAATAATAAATATTAAATTACCAAATTTTAAATTCTCTAGAAGGAATTACTTTGAACTGGGTTGGGCTCTTTGTGAAAACCAAAATTTTGGAAAGCGTGGTGGAAGTAAACACATGTCTGAACAGGTAAAACAACTTCTAAGAGCCTATTTTTTGTCAGGAAATGTATATAAACAATGCCTGCAGATCTAAAACTAAGAGTAGAAGCAGGTGCGTTGGATTCAAATGAGTTACCGAAAATAAAAACTATAGAAAATTGGATAATGCATTTTAGTAGAGAACATAAAAAAGAATCAGCTGAGAAAGAATTGGACATTATGTTATAAACATACAAACCAATAAATATAATTTTTAGTTTTATGTCATTTTATTATGCATAAAAAAGTTGGTTTTTATAACCATAATCCCCAATCAAGATTGAAATAGTGCAAAAACAGCTTGGACAAAAAAAATTTTTTTTGATAAAAATATTCGTAACAATCTGTTTATTGATATCCAAATGTTTGTTTTACAAAAATGCAAATGGAAACATGATGTTATGATAGAAAAGTAAGGTGAACTGGATGATTTTTACTATATATAAAATGTTGTAAATGCACCCTGCCAATCACTAATTAAAATTCACTCATTCTTAAAAGAATCATGAATTAAGTATCTAAACTTTGTGTAGGGAATTTAAAAGTTTTATAATAATATTTGTACTGCTCATGATGTTAATCATCATTGTAACTGGATTTAACTTCTCAATTTGATAATTTCATTACTCACTTATGATTAAGTATTGTAGCAGTATTTTTTGTTGATTGCAAGCAAGTAGATTTTTTTTATAAAAAAAAATCCACATATTCATTTACCTTAATATAAATATTGATTGTTTAATAAATTTAATAACAATAGCAATAATAAATAAATAAAAGACATTAAAAAAAAACTATACTTTCCAACTAGACAACCTCATAAAATGACAGTTTTCCTTTTAACATAAAAAAGTCCATTGAAAGCAAAACAATGTATTATAAGTAAGTAGTGACAAAACATTAATTAGTCTTATTGTTTAATAAAAAAATGGGAAAGAAAAAGAGATGTGAACACAAAACAAAATATAAAATTAAAAATAGAAATAACCACAGCTAATCAGAGATCACAAAAAACATTTTGCTATCCTTTTAAATTTGTTTGCATCACAAAATTTCCAATTATATTACTGGACAGTAAGCATCATTCATATATTTAAAAACATTCAAACTGTTACACAACTTAATCTTTTGTATTTGCTATTGATCACTTTGCAGGGTTGGCAAACTGACTAGTCCATTGAGAACTGATGATTCATTGCCATTAATAAAACACTAAATATAGCTAAAACATTACACCAATTGACCCAATGGATCGCCAATAGATCACCAATGGACTACACATTTGCCAACCCTGGATCACATACTGCTAATGGTGAAAGAAGGAATGGTACAGATGATTATAAAACTCATTTATCATTAATTCAAAATTAATCAATAAAAAAACAAACAAAGAGACAGTTGTGGTTGAAAAGGCAAAAAAAATTGACATCCAACTATCAAAGAAAAAGTTGATGATATTGATAAGTTAAAATCTTTTGGTATACAAACTTCAGGTAATTAAATTAAAGGTTATATCAATAAAAGTGATCAAAATAGTCATTTATCATTGTATAATTTTAGGCTTGGATGTAATGTATTTAAAATTTCCAGAACTTTATTTATATCATGAAATTATGTCTTTTAAATTTCCAGAAACAATCCAAGCATAAGAAATTTAGCTAATTCACTATTGTACTAAGGTTGCTTGCCAAAACTCCTCCAGAAATCAATCAGCAGGGTTTCAGTAGGTTACACATTAATTGTTTATTAGAGTTTCAGCAGAGTTTCACATTTTGAGGTTTCGCCATTTTGGCATAGTTTCAACAGGATTTTTGATAAGATTTAATATAGTTTTCAGCAATTGCTGAGAAGGTTTCGCCCACAACCTTAATTGTTACTAATTCAGTTAAGGGTGAGTATGTATATGTATATATATGTTACTGTTTGAATACTTGATCAATTTTTTATAATTTTGTAGTCAATAATATTTCAAAATTGTAATATAGTTGGCTTGGTCTAAAGACCTCCTAAATTTTGGGCAAATTTTAAAAGTATAGAAGTCACTTTCTGTCCTACCATTTAAAAAAATAGCTCTATTAGTTGATAGAATATGACTTTAGTTTTAATGTAATAGAGAGATTTTCTCAAAAAAAATATTTGTTGTAGAGTTCTATTCTTTTTTAAAACATGCACTTTACTATGCTCGCGAGGAATTTGTCCACTATAATCATTTCTAAATTTAGGAAAAATATTACCAAATTTAGACTAGCTATTGACTATCGTATCTAAATTTGGCAGTAAGAAAACTAAGATCATGCAAAGTCCTATTTTTTGAAAAATTTTATTACATTTTTGAACGAATCACAAAATTGCTATTTTGAAATTTGGTCGCATGGCGCAGCAATAGGGGGTCTTTAGACCAAGCCAACCATATAATGAATGTAATATTTGGTAACTTATCAATGATGATGATCAAAATACACCACCATAATGATGCTGTCTGTAAATATTTACAATTTTTACAGAATAAGAGTTGTCATATTACAGAACACTTAAAGTCATTTACAGACAGCATCTATACACCACCATTTGCAAAAGAAATGGTTGGTTAAATAACCACTTATAGGATAAAGGAAGCAGAAGAAAAAAAAATAATTGAAAAATAAATAATGCATCTTTAATTAGTTTCTGACAATAAATAAAAAAGTAAAAAAAATCTATATACTTGACAATGAATTAGGCAAGGCTATATATCTATTTTAATAACTAATAATGCTGATATTGATAATATAATTCATCCACAACATCTCCAAATATTGCGATTTAACCAAAACATGTATGATTGATACACAAATATTATTGACAGAATTTTTTTTTAAAAAACTATAATATAATAATTTAAAAGCAGTGAAAAATCACCTGACCAAACATTAATTACTGATTGATAATGAAGTCTTATTTACTAATAAACAGCCAATAGTAATATTTTTTTTGAATTTTTTTAGCAGGAACAACAACAGTCTTGTTTATGGGAATAATTGCTTATTTGTGAAGAAACAAAAAAAAACAGAATGAATTAATAATATTAATTATCATATTTAATCCCTTTTTTCTTGGATAAAAATTCAAGTGTTTATCATTTATTTTGAAAATATAAGGAGTAATTTTTTCAAAATACTTCTAATAGTACTATAATTCTTAGGTTCCATGGTAGGACTAGCTTCATATTAATTGTTCTTATATAGTAATAGGGGCAGTTCTATATATCACTTAACAAATGGACATTATTATTATAAAACTAATTGTGATGATTGTGATCCCTGAAATTTTTGGCAATACCGATGTTCACTTTCTGGTTTTGTTGCATTATGCCCTATATAGTAATATATAGGTTTTCTTCACTATCCTGATCAATAAATTCATTTAACATTAATTCTGGTAGTAACACACAAGGAGGTGAGAATACCATTAACAACAACAACATCAATGTTTTATACGTGGGTATGAGCTGTGTAAAACAATTGGGCTTAGCATACACACTTGTAGGAGAGCTAACAACACAAGACCAGCCCCAATAGAAGGGTGATTGAAGAACCACCACTATCCAAACCAAAAAGTAATTAGCACCAGAAATAATGATATGCATTGTTTAACAATAAAGACAAAACTTTGACTCTAACAATAACACTAACACTAATAATGGCATTGGCAATAATAATAGTGGTAATAATAATGGTGATAATACTTATAGAAATAAATTCTATAGTGATTAATTAAGTCCTACAATAGGAACAAAAATAATCATAAGAATGGCAATAATTTCAGCATTATTGATTTCAATAAGAACTTTAACAACAGTAATAACAAAATCAGTAATAACAATAATAATCTCAACAACAAGATTCTCCTCTAGGCAGGTCATCATGACTACAATTAAGGCCAGAGTGATTTTTCAACAAGCAATATGCTTTCATCTGATAAAAAAGTAATTAGTGACTCTGACTTTAATGTCTGAATTTGAAACACATGTACATGATGATTTTTCTTGATTTTGACTTAAGTTAACTATGCATAATAATAAATACATAACAGAATAAAACTGTTAGTGACTGAGTTTGGAATACACATAGGCTGGTCAATATTGGTATGTAGAATCTTTACATAAGACAGGTTTAGGTATAGGTTTTGTGAGTTTTAATTTTGAATCACTAGATGAAGTTATTCTTTAAATAATGTAAGTTTTATTTTCAATTCTATTAAATTCTTTATCAATGAGAATTTTAAAGGTAATCAAATAAACTATTTATTTAATAACAATAAAAATCTGAGTTATCATCAATAAATCCTCCCCAAAAAGAAATTATGAATAAAGAGTTAGTGTTATCCCCCAAAACAAAAAAATCATTAAATCAACCAAGTCAAATTTTCAATTTTATAAAAACATTTTATTTTATATAATGTCATATATTGATTTATTATTATCAATACCACCAGAAAGAAAGGGATTTGTATTTAAAACTGACAATGAAACAAGAAATAATGCAGTAGTTAATTTTGATAAAGAAAGTAGAAAAAAAATTTTTTCATTGGTCAAAAAAAAATAAGGAGCTTTCTGGAAATGAAAAAGAGTATTGGTCTTGGACATCTGGGAATAATATAATTGATGACTTTATTCAACAATGTCAAATGAAATCATCTCTGCCAAACCATATTTTAGAAATTGATACCTTTTGAGCAATTTGAAGATATAAAAAAGTTGGCATAAGGTGGATTTAGTTCAATTTATGCTGCTAGATGGATAAGAGAAAGCATTGATGATTATGATGAAATTAAAAAAGAATTTAATTATTATGAAAAGCAAAAGGTAGTATTAAAAAGTTTAAATGATTCAAATAATCCAGGAAAAGGTTTTTTGATGAGGTTAGTAGTTATCATTAAAAACAAAAATAAATGATACTTATTGCATAATACTAATTGATTTTATATTTATTTTCAGGCAGTGAATTATTGTAAAATTAAAAACCACTATTGTTCAATGCTATTGTATGACTAAATTTCCAGATAATGGAAATTATGCAATAGTTTAAATTATTATCTAGAAAAAAATTTAAGGAGTAATTTGCATTAAAAGACAGAATTACTACCTTTAAATGCATTATGTCATATACATGAAAAATATTTAATTCATTGTGATTTACATGGTGGTAATATACTTATGCAAAGAAGTTATTGTTATATTACAGATTTAGGATTATGTGGACCAGTTGATGAAAAGTTTTCAAATAAAGTCTATAGAATTGTATCATATGTTGCACCCAAGTAACTTAGAGGCAAAAAGAACACAAAAGAATCTGATATTTATAGTGTTGGGATGTTAATATGGGAAATATTTGCAGGTCATCCACCATTTAACAATAGAGCTCATAATCATCATCATTTAATTTTTGATATATGTGCAGAAGGTTTGCGACCACCAATATTACTAAAATGCCTTATGGTTGTGTACAAATGATGCAAAGGCGTTGGGATGTGAGTCCATCTAAAAGACCAACCATTAGAGAGTTTCTGGTATTTGCTGAAAATAAACATGGGAGAATTAATAATAATAATAATGCTACTATTAGTGGTGATAGTGCTTTGCAACAATCACACAAATCACATCCAGATGCATGCCACACAAGTAGAATATTGGATGAAGAGATTGCTAAATCCAAAAGTTTAACAAGTAATGATAATTCATTAAATGATCTTGATTTTAACTCTAAAGTTGATTTTAACAAAGGCGAATAAAAATTCATTATTAATTGAGAAATTATTATTACTAACAATATTTTTTATTCCGATTTAATATTAATCAATAAACATTAGATTCTAATAATAATAGTAAAGGAAAAGGTATTGAGAAAATTGATAAGGTTGATGAATTATCAATTGATGATTGATTAATTTAATATTCACTATAAATCTATTCATTATATTGATTTATCTTTTGATCTTTTTTTTTAATTTATTTCTTAAGAATAAAATGTATAATAATATTAACTAGGTCTTTAAAAGACCGGTCCCAAGACCAGCTCATTTTTTAACATAGATCAAATTACCAAATAAAAACAAATAAAAAATTATGTACAATTTGTAAAATCACCTCCAAAAAAAAATAATTGCTTTATTGCTTTTTCATTTATTATTTTGACAAGTTAAACAAATTATGAATCATAGAACTCGCGAATTTATTCTACTTTTAAAAAGACTAAAAGCGTTAATATAATTTATTCACTTAATTAATTTGAATTCATTCATTGATCAATCTTTAGCAAAATTCAACCGAGGATTTCCTCCTTCGTCATCCATGGGACCATTTAAAGATCCAAATTTATCTTTATTATTATTATTATTATTATGATTGTATAACCAAGAAATTTCAGATTTTTGGTGAATATAAAATTTAATCTTTCCTTCGGGTTAATGAGAGATTAAAATTTAAGTTTCTCACGTGAGTAACTAGTGAGCTGGCAAGCAAGCTTATCAGGCCTAGCAGACTCATGCAGACCTTTTATTAAACAACCCAGTTCACGCCAAATGTTTGCGGTCATAAATTTTTCTTGTTGCATTTGGGCTCTTTTAAAGAGATTCTTGGTAATCTCCCAGAGTCTAGACGTTGATTCCGGATCTGAAAGGAAAATTTAATTAAATCTGATACTTCCAAAGCTTTATTATTTCATTTCAATGATCTTTAAGGAACTAGATAGCAATTTTATTCCAAGGCGAGATCTTGTGTGTTGTGATCAAGGCTCCAAACAGATCAGATCATATCACTATTAAATTTAGATAGAATGCTTTAAGTGCATCCAGGATATTTGCACTTGAAATTTTTTATTCCTAAATAACAGATTTTTACTTTGTTCTTGGGCAATTCACATTTTTAAATTTTTTTCACCGTGAATTTTTTTAAATCTGAAGCACTTGCCGCTATCTTTTCCATTTTCCTCACCATCAACTTCACCATCAACTTCTTTGCTGCTATAATAATAAAACTATTTTCCTCGTCATTATCGTTGAAATTGATAGTCTAAGTATTGAAAATCTTTTCCACCTTTACAACAATTATTAAATATTTTTTATTAATTAATTCATGCATTGCAAGAATATGCCAAACTCGCAATACAATAATCAATAATCGGACCTGGATTTTATCGATCTTATTTGCAATAAATAATACTTGATTAATATTAATCATATATTTCCTTTAAAAAATTGTACTTTTGGGTGTTTTGGGAGTTTTTAGCATTTGAAATTTTTTCTATTATAAAAATAAAATCAACGAAAAAAAATTAAATTAATTAAATTACAAAGTCATATATAATATTAGTGTTATTAATAAATCCATACATATAATCATTTAGTACTATTTATTATGATGAGATCATGATTTTGTTGAATATGTTTTGAATAAATAATTACGCGAAATAAATCACTAATACTATTATATAGTATTATTAGTATTTAATTAAGTCGGGAAAAATAAAATAAAAATTATTTTACTGTTTATTAGTATTGAAGTTTAAAATAAATAAAAATAGATTTTATCAAAATTGCAAACAGAGTAATATAATGGTTATTTTTTGAACGTATTAATTAAATATTAATAGCTTTATTTGTTATTTAAAATACATAAAGCAATAAAACTTTTTTCTGAATTATAGCATCCGTAACAATATTGTAATATAAATGTGCTTTTTTTTATTACTATAATATTCCTTGCATTTATTTTTTTCTGGTTCGAGGCCTTCAAGTTAAAGGTCATGGTTATTAAGAAAACATTGAGATTATGATGGCTGATACATATATATATGTATATATTAGTTATTCAAAAATGGAATATTTTTTATTTTTACAGTTGGTACTTGTGAGCCTCACTACACTGACTGTTTCAGTATTGAATCTTGATTTCCTTTTCACACTAATGCATATGGTTGAATTCATACTAATAATGTTAATATTACTGCTTATCACAGTATCTTTCCCGCGTATTTGTTTATAAGCAAGTACAAAGGACAAAGAGACGTAGATCTTTCTTTGGTTTACAGGAATAGTAAGTAAAGGGAGCGATCGTAATTTTCGGATAATTATTTAATATTAATATTGATATTAATTTCTAAATTTGTTTTTGTATCATAATGCTTAAAAATTTTTTTGAGCCTGTCTTCTAAATTTGGTAATTTGTAATTAATTTTAACTGTTACGTTAATAAATTATCAGATCAACCAAAGCTTTAATTGAAGCAACAAGTGTAGATCAAAACTTGCAGAAATGTCGATGAACTAACATCATCACAAAAAAAAAACAGTAACAACAACATTCTAAGACTGTTTTGAAAAAAGGAACAAACAAAATTTGATAGGTTCTTTGTAAAAAAATATGATTTAATTAACGATCAATTAGCATTGATTTTAGTATTGTTCGATGGAGAAAATATATCATAAATTAAGATTATTTAATTTTATGATTTACGATGGCCGTTTGTTTCAACATATTAATACAATAACACAAAATTTAACTTGCATAAATAATAGGTTTAGTCGTCTTTTTATTTTATAAATTGGTTCGACAATGTTGTGTTAGATCTTCTTCATTCAGTCATTATTAATTGGTTAATGTGGAATTTTCATCCCAATGTGGACAAATTTTTAGCCTTTTACCACTTTAAAAATATGAGTGATGGTGTAACGCCCCATCATTAGTACATATAAATTTATAAAATGTAACAATGCACGCATTTTTATTTGGTTCACCAATTTCTAATTTATAAAAAATGCGAGGGATTTTCAATAATTTACATATATAATAAAACATGCTACTCCAATCTAGTAAACAAGGCTCTTTTTTTCCAATCTTCTAATTGCGATATTTCTAAAACCAGTTAACAAGTTATTTTTGTATAAAATTATATATAAAGAGGCACGATTTTTTTGTCTTTCTTTTTTCAACTTTCATAAAAAAGTGCTTTTTTTTCATTTTAAACGTTATTGGAGAATCAGGGTAAATTTTTGGTAGTTTAGATTTAAGGACTTTTTGAGTTTATTAACGCACAATATAAATAAAAGCTTTAAAAAACAATTTTAGTCTCACTTTTTTAAACTTCCAAACAAAACATTCTTTCTTTTTTTTTTCCTTGTCCCTTCATCCCTTTCTTTCATCCTTTCTTTCTCATTCATCCATCATTTTATCCTCCTCACAAAATTTCCTATAAATATATATATAAATATTTTCATCCTATATCTTTTTTTTTTTGTACTATACACACAATCATATCATATTTCACGCTGGCGTGTATAGTTCAACACATTTCATTAACATAAACATATATACCAAATTTTTTTGCTTTTGTGAAATAATAATAAAATGACTCGCATTACGCCAACTATTAAAAGAACCTTTCCACTTCTTCTTTTGTTCATATTATTCTGTTTTAATAATGTTCAAGCAAATTTACATCAGGACACAATTTTTGTTAGTGACACTCAAACCGGTCTCAGTAATATAGAAAAAGGTAAATCTGTTGAAATTACTGCTGAAAAAGTTGATAAAACACCAAGTCTAGAAAGTAGCGCCAAAGGAATTCTTTTCACTGTTGATAACCCATGCTCAGACTTTACAACAATCATACCTTCAAATATACCTTCTAAATTAATCAACCAAGCAATAGCAGTTATCAAACGCAGTGCCGCCTGTCCAGATCTACAACAATTTGTTAATGTACAAAAATTTGGTGCAATTGGAGCAATTGTATATGATGCTGCTGCTACATCTTCAGATATCGTCATTGATGATACAATTAAAATTCCATTCTATAAAGTTGACCGTGAATCAGGAGAAAATTTATCCAGTACTGTTACGACATTGGCAAAAGAACCTGCAACTGATAAAGGATTTAGAATGATTCGTATTATAATCGACGCATCGTCACAAGGCGGTTTTGGCAGTGGTTGGCAAATCGCAATCATTGTAATTGGTTCTTTACTTGCTATTTCATTTTTGATATCAGGTAAATAATAATTCATTATATATATAATATATTAATTATTTAAAAATAATTAATTAAAAATAACAAAAAAAAATTTTTTTAGTTTTGATTCATTGTCGCTTATATCAACTTCGTCGCTATGAACGTGATGCAATGATGGCTCAACATGAATCAAATATTTCTAGTAAATTAGATTCATTCAAATTAGAATCATCAGTAGTCAAATCATTCCCTACAATTTCCTATTCAAAAGACCTCCATACCAAAAAGAGCGACTCAAAAACTGAATCAACTCCTGGAAGTGTTCGTAGATTATCACTGTTAACAGAAGACGGTTCCTCCAATGATGTATGTCCTATTTGTTTGGAAGACTTTAGATGAGTTGATTAAAAGTACACAACTTAAAGCAACTAAGTATAATAATGATTATTATCTTGAATGGATTCCTCATAATGATTTAACAAATATTGAAAAGATAGGTGAAGGTGGGTTTGCAACTATATACAAAGCTACTTGGTTAAATGGTGAGAAAGGTACTGATAGAAATAAAAGAACTAGTGAAGATATGACTGTGGCATTAAAAAAACTACATAATTCACAGAATATTTCTGATGAATTTCTTAATGAGGTGAATTATTTTTGTTTTACTACTTATTTCAGGCTTTTAAATGTTGTTCTGAAATTCAATATATTATTTTTATATAGTTTAGAATTTTTGTTACATTTCATGGTAAATCATTTATAAATAAAATTTATGGATTAACACAAGACCCAGCTACAAAAGAATATATCTTTGTAATGGAATACATGGAAGATGGAAGTCTTCAAGATTATGAAGATCAATATATTAGAAAAGAAAAATATGGGGAATGTCCAACATGCAAAAGATATAATACTAATAATTCATGGTGTCAATCATGTGATCCAAAGCCATTAACTGAAGGATGGACTAGTGGCAACGAAACATTAGATGAGTTGATTAAAAGTACACAACTTAAAGCAACAGGATATAATAATTATCATCATCTTCAATGGATTCCTTATAATGATTTAACAAATATTGAAAAGAGAGGTGAAGGTGGGTTTGCAACTATATACAAAGCTACTTGGTTAAATGGTGAGAAAGGTAGTGTTAGAAATAAAAGAACTAGCAAAGATAGGACTGTGGCATTAAAAAAACTACATAATTCACAGAATATTTCTGATGAATTTCTTAATGAGGTAAATTATTTTATTTTTTTATTTATTTTCTGATTTTTAAATATTATTGATTATTATTGTTGTAATTAAATATTTTATTTATTATTTAGTTCAAAAATTATATGAAGTTTCATGATAAAGATGATATAATTCATATTTATGGTTTAACACAAGATCCAATTACCAAAGAATATATATTTGTAATGGATTATATGGAAGATGGAAGTCTTCAAAATTATTTAACTAAAGATTTTAAAAATTTAAAATGGATTGACAAAATTAAAATTCTTTATTATATTATTAATGGTTTAAAAGATATTCATGGAAAAGAAACTATTCATCGTGACCTTCATAGTGGTAATATTCTTCAAAATATTAATGCTCCATATATTGCAGACTTAGGATTATCATGCACATCTAGTCAAACATCATCATCAAACAAAAATGATATATGTGGAGTACTATCATATATTGCACCAGAAGTTTTAAAAAAGAAACCATATACAAAAGCATCAGATGTATACAGTTTTGGAGTTTTGATGTCTGTAGTATCAACTGGCCAACAACCATTTAATAATTTGGCACATGATGAATATCTTGCAATGGAAATATGTAAAGGTGCAAGACCTGGATTCTCAAACAATACACCAAAATTCTATATTGAACTAGCATTCAAATGTATGGATGCTAATCCAAATAAACGTCCAACTGCTGTAGAAATTTATGAGATTATTTGGGATTGGTATTATTTTAATGAATTAATTAGAAAAGAGTTTGAGAAAATGGATGAAATAAAATTTGATCCTTCAACAATTACTACAGTAATTCATCCAAATGCAATTTATACTAGCAGATTATTAAATTTTACAAATCTTCCCCAACCTGTGAATTCCAATAAAGTAACAATTATTGGTAATAATAATGGTGATTATTAATATTCAATCATTGACTATTTTCATTTTTATTAAATTAACAATATTTATTAATATCCACTCTTGTGATAAATATTTTGTAGATTCTAAACAAATAGATTTAGCTATACCAGATGGATTACTTGAATAAGTCAAATCCTGTCACTTATTATGTATTATTTATTTATTTTTATTTATCTAGCTACTATAGTTTAAATGTCTTGAGTAATGATATTATATAATAACTTTTTTGGATTTTATTTTTTCATTTTGAAATTCAGATGTCATAATATGCATACTAAATAAAAAATAATAATTTTTGACAAAAAAATAAATGTAATTTTTAATAATCATTGTTATCATACATACATAACTCCAGTACTGTTTGTCTCTTACCTTTTCAAATCAATGGTTTCATTTTTTTATAGTATTGACAAAATGAAGTGATGTATTATCAATATATTATATAATTTATATAATATATAAATAATTTATTAATATTAAAAACCTTGAAATTTAATACATGTATCTGAATAATTTAAATACAATAAAAATTATACCTAAATTATCAAGTAAAAAGCCAACAGACACAAACTACAGTATACTGATTGTGAGTTTTGTTGAATTGAACAATGTCAAACTTCTGGTCTTATTTGGAAACCCTGACATGGAATCTTTGATGTTTACCCCAATAGGAAGGGACACTATAAGTACATTAAAAAATACCACATTCAATATATAGCTAGCCACATTGATGCTTGAGAAAGAAGAAATTTTCAAAATTATATAACGAGGTTTGATCCAGTAGTGCTATGATTATGTTTGTAATCACGAAGAATGTAAATCTTATTTTCATTCATATAATTGTTAATGATAGGAGTAAATGCAAGAGGAAGTAATTATTAAAAGTATTATTATCATCTGAATTCGTGTTACGTTCCGTATATTCATTTATTATTAATCAATCCGTAACACATTCATATTTATTTAACTTTATTTAGTAGAGATTAATGACGATTCTCCCGGAACAGGCGGATTCGCTCAAAACGTGCGGATTCGCACAGGTATAAAGTGAGCGAAAACGCACAATTGAGCGGATTCGCGCAATTCGGGCTAATATGTAAATGAACATGTATATAAAGAACTTGATTTCGACCTAATGTAAAAGCGACTTGGTAATAAGTTAATTAGTTTCGACTAAATAAAACTAAATAAATAAAATATAAATATTTTATTTAAAACTTTTATCTTCTTTAACCAAAATTATTCGCTAATACTAATACCAAAATCAATTCGTTGATCCCCTGATACACACAAAAATAATTGTTATCACCAATTAAAATACGCTCTCCCAAATTTAATCGGTGACACTATATAATTGAATTAATGAATTATATGAATTCAAAGAATAAAATTATTATTATATTTTATTTCATATTAATCTAGGAAAGAATGCATCAGAATGTTCTTATTAAAAGATATCATTCATAAATCAATACAAGTTGTTCCCATTATAATGGCACTCGTGGAACAGGCTAAAATGTTAGTATAATAATAACGGGGTTGTCACTACAATATAAATTGATATTAATATAAAATCATGTGAAAAATCATGTATATAATTTAATTCACAATAATTTTTAGAATCCGATTTGTTTTGTTTCTTTTTTTTTAATTTTTATAAACTATCTAACATATGCCCTCCAATATAACTCTTGTTCTTCTTGTTGTATATAAATAAGAAGGTTTTCGTAACTTTGTAGTGCATCTTGAGCGTTAATGAAAATAGTGTTCTCTCTTCCCCCTTCTTTCTCTTTATTCAAAATAGCAACAATTTCTTCTAATGAATGCATTGTTTCAGTTCATGATTGCACTCATGGTTAACATAATCCTCAACTGTCAGTGTTTTTTTATAAAATTCATTTATAATACTTTGCAATCCTAATCTTCTCCCTCTTCATAATTAATAATATTATAAAATCACTTTCCAAAATAAGTTGTTGAATTCTGCCTTATTTTTTCTTGTTTCTTAAATGGCAAACTTTTCAATTAATAAATTAATTTTCATAGGTAATCTTTTCTTTTTTAAATAATTTCAAGTGTCTGAGTGTCATTTATTTTGAAGATTTTTTCACCTTGTTCTTTCTTCAAAACGCTTCTAATTATGCTGTAATTTTTGGGTTCTATAGTAGATCTGATACAAATTAATCATGATTGTAATACAATTGTGTGGTGTTTCACTTTGTCAGATTTTGTTGCAACATTTCCCCGATAGGGAGAGATTCAGTATGGTATAACTCTTGCAGAACGTATGGTATGGTATGGTATAGCCCATATTTTTCCATACCAAGTCACACAAAATTTTATTCTAAATCCTTTTTTGGTGGGTGTGAAGGGAAGTATGTTAGATTTAAGCATTGGTATACAACCATTTTATTACACTTATACAATACCTTACCATACGTTTTGCAAGAGTTATACCATACTGAATGTCCCTATACTCACATTTCCCACAACCTTGTAATTTTTCATAAAAAGGCCACTTAAAATATACAAAATAGTATGCTTTGTCCATCTTTTTCTATGCTTGTTATTGATGGGATCACCAGAGATTTATTTACATAATGATAACTATTATAATTTTAAAAAATAAAAAGACAAAGTTAAAAATAGGAACATTTATCAAATGAAAGATATATACCATACATTAATGGTCTAATAATTCCTAAACCATGTAGTCTATGTACTAATTCTGATGGTTTCTCAACATCTTCAATCAATAAAGCTTTATTCATTAAATAATTATTTATATCAATGAAAAATAGTTGAAATACTATCATAACTATGATTAGTATTTTTTCCATCCAATTATTGGATTCAATACAATTGAAATCATTAGCAGAAGATAATGTTAAGGAAGAAGATGTTGGATTAGGTGGTGGTGGTAGTATGGTGCTTGCTGAAACTTCTCCAGAAATCAATCAGCAGAATTTTAGCAGGTTACACACTAATTGTTTATTAGAGTTTCAGCAAAGTTTCACATTTGGGGGTTTCAGCAAGATACATACTAATTTGTTTATCCGAGTTTCAGCAGAGTTTCAGCAGTCATTAAGAGGTTTTGGCAAGTAACATTAAGTGGTAGTGGTGTGTAATTATTATTATTATTCTGGATTGAAAATGTGAGGATCAATTTTTCTTCCAAGTATTGATGGATATACTGTACAATTATGGGCATTGTATAATAATATAATTCTATTAATTATTTTATATATATATATTATATCTCCGTTTAGCTTCTAAAGCAAACAATGAATACTGATATGTTTTTGATGAATTATATCTTTAGGTTTAGGCTTTTTATAAGGTGGTAATTTCTCCAATGCTCTAACCAGTATTGAATCATCTTGAATTGTATGTTTTCATAATCTAAATGATATTTAAACTTTATATATATAATAAAAAAAATAAATTTAAATTAAATCTATTTATTGTTTTCTTTTTAAAAAAAATTTTTATTATTATTATAAAAAATCGCCCAATGCTTGAATGAATCATTTGAACGAAAGGGAAATATACTTCATTAGTTAACAAGGCCGAGTTTTGGTGAAAGTGCCAGAGGCTGAAACATTTTAGATTTTAAGGAGCAACCAACAACGTCAGAGTAAAATTGATCCTTATGTTATGCTAGTTTTACTATTTTTGTATTTGATGTGATGTTAAGATTTCGTGCAACTGTATTTTAATTTGTGTTTATATAAAATTTTCATTCATATATTATTTTTTCATTCATTCATTTTTAAAGCTTGCTACTTTTTTTTAAAGCAATTTATTATTACATTATTGTATAACTCTTTCGATTTAACAATGGCTACACTAGAAAAACCTTTGAAAGGACGTTCAAAAGTAAAAAGGGTAAATGAGATTCAAATCAGTAAATAATAAATTAGAAAAAAATAAAATAAAAATTATTACTTATTTGTCCAAATTTATTATCATTAGAGGTCTACTATGCCAGCAAGCATAGATAGAATAATAAATCGAACAGAAGATATTGGAATTAGTACAAGTATTACTCCACCAACACTACCACATTTAGAATTTGAAAGTAACGATTATCATATTTTGGATTTATTGTCAAATGAAAGTTTTACAGGCATCGATTTTGCATCTGAGAAACCCAATACTCCATTAGCTGAGGCTTTTGAACAAGAACATTCTGATATAAATAATGATACTAATGTTGATGCTGCTGCTAATTCAAATGTAACAACAAATGACGAATCATTGAATTTACAAACTTCAAATATTCCATCTTTCGAACAAATTATTCAAAACGTAGAAGGTGATGATGGAATTTACAATACATTGAGAAAAGAAAATGCAACCTTAAGTGACCTGCAACAAGATTTAACTACACAAATAGATGTTACTGATGAAATATGGAATGATCTTGATTGTTTAACAGATGTTGTTGCGAGATTGTGTTATGAACAATCAATGAACGACCCGCCACCTAGATATTCATATAACTACGATGAAAAGAATTTATCTACAAAAAATGATCTCCCTAAATATTCGTCATCTGTACTGTTGAATTCAAATCTAATTGGCAATGAAAAGGCTCAGCGTGATTTGGAATATGTTATTTCTGCAATACAAAGAGTTTATACCGTTGCACCACAACTTGATAATCAAAGGGTTGAACTCAACAGTCGTCAGAAAAAAGAAATCATGGCAGCAGCTATATCAACAACCATACAAAAATTATCTAGAGGTCGATATGAAGAACAACGTGCAGAATCTTCTTCGAATTTAAAACATCAAACTTTAAATAAGTTGATTGAACAGATTATTAAATCATCTGAAAGGAGTTTTTTGGATCAACGTGTGGAACTTAATTCACGGCAAATAAAAAATTTTGAAATTGCAAAATTAGACGGGATTGTTGAAAAACTTGGAAAGAATCGGATGACAAATCAAGTAATTAATTAATTTTAGAAATATCAAATTTTTTCCTACTTTTAAATATATATATTTTTTTTTACAAACGAACAATTAGGATTGGCATCCACCTGAACAACTTTTTATCAAAGATTTAACAAGATTAACCGATGAATTTGCTAAATCAGCAACAAATTCTATGTACGCTTCTCAACGTTTTCATCTAACACCAGCAAAAGAGAAGGATATGTTTATGAATAGTGTATTTAAAAGAGTTGAGAAGTTACATTCTTATCGAATGGTTAATCAGGATGCTGATCCACCTTTTGTACGCCGTGAACAAGAAGCAGAACAAATGGTTTCTAAAATGCAATATAGTCCGTCGATGGATAGTCAACGTGCAATTTGGAGTCCAAAAAGAACATCAAATTTAGTTTAATTTAATTTTTCAAATTTGTAAATTTATTAATTTTATAGATTGAAGAAATTTATTTATACCATTATAATTTATTAATATTAATATTCTATTTTAGAAATATATAATTAGTTAATTAATAACGTCAAGCGCCTAATTCAAAATAAGAACTTGGTAAAAAATTATTCACACACATATATTTTTTTTGTATTATATAATTTTTTAATTGTTGTTATCAAATAAATACGTGACAAGGGCGTTTCGTTTGTGTGTGAAATTCCTTTTGATTGGCTAATTAATTTTACATTTGGCAAATTCATAGATTTCATTCCAACTTTGGCACCTGATCTTTCAAGCGAAATATCAAATCATGTCAAAAAAGGCTATATTCATATCTTCTATTCAACAAAGAATTACACAACATTAATATCCAAATTTTGTGAAGAGATCCATTCTATTTTGAAGGAAGTACTCGAAATGTTTATCAATAGAAGATAAAGATTTCTTAACAACAACAACATTAACTAAATTTTAAATTGTTGGATTATCACCATTACATACAACTATGTAAAACTTACTACTGATTTAAAATTTCATGAAATTAAAGCAAAAATTTGGTCAAGGTAGTAATGGCTGATTCCAATAATAAAAATATTAATTGAATGATTAAAAAATAATTCGAAGATACGATTTGATAACTAGACATAATGGATTTGGCATTTGCTTTATAAATTAATGTCAATTATTTTTAGTGTAGCAAAAATATTCAAGTTTTAGCTGTAGGATATCCAAATTTTTCAAAAGCAATGTCAAATCACTCAATATCAATAGTTTCGTATACTAGTTCTGAACGAACTGAATTGAGCGAATCAAACCGGTTTCTAATTTTGAAAAAATAAAAAATATGGAATTAGTATGAATATTCCAATTTTTAAACGCTGAACCTGGATATTTTTTTTTTGGAATCTTCCAGGCCTGGGAATAAGGCAAATATAAAGTTGTTTAATAAAAATATAACTTTTATTGTGTAATTTGAATTTAGTAACCACTTAAACCGCCCGATTTAAAAGAATTTTCATTGATTAATTTATTTAAATGCTCAAATTCAAATATTCGGATCGGCCTTTGCTCAATGTTATTATTATTATTATATTATATTACAAATTAAAAATATTTGACTCGAACTTGTAAGTATTATCTATTTATATAAATGAAACTCACTTTTATTAATTCTTATTTGTGAAAAACGATATTAAAATAATAGTTGACAATATCTCGCCCATAATAATAATTTTTTTATCTAAATACAAAAATGCACTTTTTACTTGTCTAAATTCTACAATTTTATTAATATCCCTATAATTCAAAAAAATCCACATTCATATTATTACTGGGATAACATCTATATTTTTTTACCAGAGTAATTAATAATAAGAATAGGCAAATAAATTCTTAATATTAAATTTGTTATTAGGGGAAGAGAAAGTTGTTTAGCGAACACTATATTATTTGAATAATAAACAAAATATAAATGGGTAAAAATAACATAATGTTATTTTTTTTTATAGAGCAACAAAAGGTAAACAAACATTCGAAATTTCGACAATTAAATATTGATTATCCCAAAATTTTTGTAAATCTAATCTTGACTTAAATAAACTCTTCAGATTATCTTCAATTTTGTTTGTAATTATGGTGGTGGTAGTGGTGGTTGAAAGTAATGCTAAATCTTGTGGAAGTGTGAAACTTAACAACAAGTGTCTAATATTCATTTTTAAAATTAGTGATGTTTGATTAATAAAAAAAAGGTTTATCTTTTCTCACATATATATATACCTGGAACTTTCTTCTCTACCGAAACCCGGAATGTTCTGATTGTATTTTAAAAATAATTGAAATAAAATTAATCCTTGATTTCCTAAATTATTTTTCTTGTCCACGTTATTCTCAACGTTTTCATCCTCATTCTCATTAACAATGAAACCAAAATCCAATGCATAAATTACGGGATATTCAAGTATCCAACCAGTAAACGTTATAATGCAAGATGGGGTTTTTGATAAATATAGCACAAATCCTTCGCCATTAACATCATTATCGTGCAGCTGATTTTGTTGTTGTTGTAATCGAAGGTAAGGTTGTATTTTTGTCATTAGGAAGTTTATAAATGAATTGGTTGGGTTTACCTGAGACAAAAATGAGAAAATTTGGAAAAGGGTCATCAATTGTTCCGCTTTCCAATTTTTTTTATCGTTAAAAAAATTATACCTGTGTTGGCTTATCATTTTTAGATGAAACGTTAACAAAAAAAATATCTTTAATTTGGCTATTGTTATTATTATTGTTATTAAAATAATCAATTTCTTCAAATTTTTTTGCAATCAAGTATTTATTGCAAATAAATGTGTGAGTGTTTGAAAATTGTAAAGCAAATATATGTAACAATAAATCACCCTAAAAAGTTACTATTAATTAATGACTGTTATTTAGGATATATATAAGAAAAAGAAGAGAACTTACTTTTATTTGTCTTAAAGATGTTAAAAATGTTAAAGTTTCTTGATGTGTTAAAAACATTATATCAACCAAATGTGCACAACTAAATGGGAAAGGTGACAGGATCGATTAAATATATAGTTGTGTATATATATATTAATATATATATAAGTATATTTACCGAATTCCTAAACATACAGACACAACATCTACCAAACAAAATATAAAATATAAAATCATTTATTGTTAAGAAGATTATTTATTAATTTATTTAATATAACTATTATTTACCATTAATAAAGTTTGATATTTTATTTCTTTGCTTAATTTTTTTTGTATATAGAAACTGAGAAATAATACATGATTTTACATGTTGATAAATCAATGTTGATAATTCTAAATCATAATGACAATGTTGCACTTTGTCGGAATTCATAGTAAATAGTAAGAAAGAAATTTTGATGTTGCTTATTATGTTATGTATTACTTATTTATTAATTACTATTAGTATATTATTTCTTACTGTTATTAAATTGTTAGTATTAATGTAATATTACTTATTACCTGCTCAAAAAAATTTTCCTTTGGAAAAAAGACTTATAGATCAAATTGGGTTGGTATGCTGCAACAATTAATATTAAATTTATTATATAGTACTAGTAACTAGCATGCCATTGGTCAAAATTATACAACAATAATAAAATTCTGAACATTACTTACTACTAACTTTCATCTACTCGCAGATGTTTAACATTGAAGATACTAAGCGAGAATTGGGGTTGGCAAAGAGGAAGTGCAAGTTTGATATCTAGAAAAGGTATTAGTCAAGCCATAACATACATACTGGTAAATATTTTATGACAATTGTGCAAAATCATTTTCCATCCATTTCATTTTGTTCATCTGTTTATCCATTTGGGAGAACACTTGATATGCAGTTTGCAATGTTAACTAACCTTGTGCTTCTTTTTTGTCTTCATCATCCTTTCATCCACACATCCGCTCATTTCCTTATCACTCTCTCTATTTATTTTGTATCGATTCATTTAATTTTTTGTGATACTTTTCCAAATTAATCAAATTAACACAACTATTTTATAAGTGCTCCAATCAAAACAGTGAAAAAAAGCTAACAAATGATGTAAAGATTATTACAAATAAAAAAAAAACTTTTTGCCAAAAAAATTAAAGCACCAGCCATTAATAAAGCAATACTTGTTGTTATAAAAAAGAAAAGTCAATAGGAATGTTAAATATATGGCATTTAATACCGTCACTGCATATGTAAACCAATTAAAGTGCAAACCCACCAAAGAAATGGATTGTTCTTTGTAAATAATACTATTTAGGATGTATAGTAATCTCTTTATTTTTTTGTGCTGCATGACTTGATAATTTCTTTAGTTTCAGCAATTAGCAGACCCCGAAAAATTCATAAAAAAATCATGGTTGACTGACTCACACTGATTAGTAAAAATCTGGTAATTTTTCGTTTTTATTATATATAAATAAGAATTGACCCAACTGCAAGCAGTAAGTTATCTATATAGTTTCGGGGTGTCTTTAACTTGTTATTTTTTTTTTTTGAATTGGTCACCCCTGAGGTTTTTCTGGTAAGCTAATAATTAGGATTACTCAGTTTCAAAGACTGATCTTGTTTTGGAGAACAAAGGACGCTCGATCTTTGGACTGGTTAGAGACCGATTTAATGGTATTTTGAATGTGACTTATGAATTATTAATAATAAAAACTTTGGGATTAAATTGCGCGCATTGGCCCATTAAACTCGTTTATTTATTAAGAAATATTTACTATTGGATTTTACTTTGAATCCACGCAAAATAGCTCTAGCTGTTTGTTGGCTCCTTTGAGATGAAAGGCAGATCGTATATAATCAATTAATTGCTTATTATTATTATAGCAACAATTGTCAACTTCGTAATACTAAAAACAAAAAATTTTTATACCATTTTAAAAAATTAACCGATGAGTTTTATTGTTCATGACTCAAGCTTCAAAACTTGTCGGCTAGTTTTTTTCTTAATAAAAATTGGCAGAGCCTTAACATTTAAAAATTCCAAATTTTGTTATCTGCTTAAGAAGTAAATTTCGTCTGACAAAAATTTTTTTATAGAATATTTTCTACAACATATACTGATTTAAAAGTTCTTTACAATAAAAAAATTTAGTCATGAAATTCAAAAAATGAACTTAAGTATAGATGATGATCTGCATTGTCACATTTTATATCCAATAAAATCAAACTTCCACCATGCTCAGAAAGAGTAATTGTTTGTTCAATCAATTCTTTGCAAAAGGAAATAATATAAAGAATTGTGTAAATAAAGAATTATGAATAAATAAACAGATGAATAAATAAGTGAATTAGTGCTACTCTCAGTACAAAAAAAAATCATTTTCTCCACTCTATTCAATAAAACACAATAGATTTAGTCAAGACAAATTTTTAAATTTTATAAATATATTTATTTTTATATGATGCCTTATAGTAAATTGTTATCATTAATAACACTAGAAAGAAGGAGTTTTGTATTTAAAATTGATAATGAAATGCTTAATAATGCTCTAATGAGTTCTGAAAGAGAAAGTAGAAAAGATTATTATTTTTCATTAGTCAAAAAAAACAAGGAGCTTTCTGAGAATGAAAAAGAATATTGTAAAGAATGGTTTCTTTATAGTTTTGAATTAAATAATGTAACGTATAAATTTGGCAAACCAAAAGAATGTAACAAGTGTAAAACAACAAGATACTCTGATAGATTCTGTGGAGGATGTATTACTTTACAACTACAGACTCTTTTCACTACTTGGACATCTGGAAATAACATGATTGATGATTTTATTCAACAATGTCAAATGAAATCATCTCTGCCAACTGAAATCATAGAATGGATACCTTTTGAGCAATTTGAAAAAGTAACAAAGTTGACAGAGGGTGGATTTAGTTCAATTTATACTGCTACATGGACAAGGGGGTATATAATTGATTATGATGAAAATAAAAAGGAATTTAGTTATTATTATGGAGGGAAAGGTATAGTATTAAAAAGTTTAAATGATTCAAGTAATCCAGGACAAGCTTTTTTTGATGAGGTTGGTATTTTTATTTAAATCAAAAATAAATAATGCTGTATTATATAATAATACTAATTGATTTTATATTATTTTCAGGCAATAAATTATTGTAAAATTAAATCGGGGTTAATTAATCCTTGTTATGGTATAACTAAATTCACAGATAATGGAAATTATGCAATAGTTTTAGATTATGCTCCAGAGGGAAATTTAAGGGGTTATTTGAAAAAAAATCATTTTAATTTAACATTAAAAGACAGAATTATAATCTTTGATTATTTATGTGATGCATTAGATGATATACATGAAAAAGATTTAATCCATTGTGATTTACATAGTGGTAATATACTTGTGCAAGGAGGTAATTGTTATATTACAGATTTGGGATTATGTGGACCAGTTGATGAAAAGTCATCAAATAAAGTCTATGGGATTGTATCATATGTTGCACCTGAACTACTTAGAGGCAAAATTAATACAAAGAACACCAAAGAATCAGATATCTATAGTGTTGGGATGTTAATGTGGGAAATATTTGCAGGTCACCCACCATTTGACAATAGAGCTCACAATCATCGTTTGATTTTTGATATATGTGCAAAAGGTTTACGACCACCAATATTACCTGGAATGCCTGATGATTATGTGCAAATGATGCGGAGGTGTTGGGATGTGGATCCATCAAAAAGACCAACTAGTGAAGAGCTTTTGATATTTGCTTATAATAAAGATAGGGAAATTCATGAAAATAAAATTTTGAAAAATAATAGTAACAATAATAATTTAATAAATAGATTATTCAAATTTTTTAATAATGATGGTAGCAGCAGCAGTGGTAGTAATAGTGATTCGCAACAAGTATACGAATCACACCCAGATGCATATCATACAAGTAGAATCTTGGATGAAGAGATTGCTAAATCAAAAAGCTTGAAATTTTATACAAGTAATGATAGTTCGTTAAACAATCTTGATTTTAACGCTCTCCTCTTAAATGCTGAAGGTGAATAAAAATTTCATTATTAATTAATTAGAAATCACTATCCATTAATCATCACTAACAATATTTTTTATTTACATTTAATTGCATTGGGTTCTAATAATTAAAAGAAGGAATTGATGAATAACTAATTTAATCTCCTAAATTATTTGTTATAATTATTTGTCTTTTTATTTTATCTTTATTTTATCTTTTTTAAAGTTAAATTATAATAATGTTTTGAAATAATAAACTTCTTACAGTTTTTTAAATGGTGGTTAACAATCATGGCTTAACTTTTGGCTAACCTTGTCAGTTAATTGCAAATAATTCGGTGCTTGTCAATTAATCAGTTTACAATTTACTTTGGTTTCCTCTTTCTTGCACTTAGACAAAACTGTGGGCACACCTAATGATACCAGATAACCGTAAATAAATAAATATGGCCTTTTACAAAACTCGAGAGCTTCTATAAGTTCCTTTTATTCACTTGTGATCGATTTATTCGTTTGCATTTATTGACTCGCTTTGGTTTACTTGAAAAACAACCAAAGTAGCTTGTTTAACAGCCTTACGTTTACA